GCAACCTGCCTTGGACCCTCCCGAGGTGTTTGGGGCATTTCCCGATCCTTCTCGTGGCTGTTACACTGTTTTGGCCCTCCTCCCGGGTGTCCTATTTCAAAGCTTAAGTGCGAAAAAAGTGTCTCTTTACAACTTAGTTTTCAAACCGGGAGTCCCGTGCTAGTTTCGTAAGTTTTCACAACTCGCGTTGGTCACTCCCAAGGCATTTGAGGTGTTCCCGGCCCTTCTTGTGACTGTTACATGATTTTGGCCCGCCGCCCGATGGCCTACTTCCAAGCTTAAGAATTAGAAAAGTGTATTTTCCGGCCTAGTTTTCAAATCGGAAGTCCCGTGCCTGTTCGTTAAGTTTTCACAACTCAAATTGGTCCCTCCTGAGATGTTGAAGGTGTTCCCCGGGCCTTCTCGTGATTGTTACACGATTTCTGGCCCGCCGAGCCCTATTTTCATGCTTAAGTGTGAAAAAAGTACCTTTTCCGATCTAGTTTCCAAACCGGAAGTCCCGCGCTAGTTCCGTAAGTTTCCACAACTTACATTGGTTTCTCCCGAGGTGTTGGAGGTGTTCTACGGGCCTTCTCGGGACTGTTACAGGATTTTTTTGCCCCCGATAGCCTATTTTCAAACTTAAGTGTTTAGGAAGTGCATTTTTTAACTTAGTTTTCAAACCGGGAGTCCCATGCGAGTTTTGTGAGTTTTCACGACTCACGTTGGTCCCTCCCTAGGTGTTTGAGGTGTTCCCCAGACCTTCTCTTGACCGTCACACGATTTTGCCCCCTCCGATGGACTATTTTCCAGCTTAGGTGCGAGAAAAGTGCCGTTTCGGACTTAGTTTTCAAACTGGGAGTCCCGTGCTAGTTCCGTAAGTTTTCACAACTTACATTGGTCCCTCCTAGGGTGTTTCATGTGTTCCCCGGGCCTTCTCGTGACTGTTACACGATTTTGGCCCCCTGACGACTTATTTTCGAGCTTAAGTGTGAAAAAAGTGCATTTTTTGATTTAGTTCTCAAACCGAGAGTCCCGTGCTAGCTCCGTAAGTCTTCGCAACCTGCCTTGGACCCTCCCGAGGTGTTTGGGGCATTTCTCGGTCCTTCTCGTGACTGTTACACGGTTTTGGCCCCCCCCGGTGTCCTATTTCCAAGCTTAAGTGCGGAAAAAGTGTCTCTTTCCAACTTAGTTTTCGAACCGAGAGTCCCGTGCTAGTTTCATAAGTTTTCACAACTTGCGTTGGTCACTCCCGAGGTGTTTGAGGTGTTCCCGGACCTTCTTGCGATTGTTACATGATTTTGGCCCCCCGCCCGATGGCCTACTTCCAAGCTTAAGCGTTAAAAAAGTGTATTTTCCGGCCTAGTTTTTAAATCGGGAGTCCCGTGCCTGTTCGTTAAGTTTTCACAACTCAAATTGGTCCCTCCTAAGATGTTCGAGGTGTTCCCCGAGCCTTCTCGTGATTGTTACTCGATTTCCGGCCCGCCGAGCCCTATTTTCAAGCTTAAGTGTGGAAAAAGTACCTTTTCGGACCTAGTTTCCAAACCGGAAGTCCCGCGCTAGTTTCGTAAGTTTTCACAACTTACATTGGTTTCTCCCGAGGTGTTGGAGGTGTTCCACAGGCCTTCTTGGGACTGTTACATGATTTTTTGGCCTCCGATAGCCTATTGTCAAACTTAAGTGTTTAGGAAGTGCATTTTTTGACTTAGTTTTCATACCGGGAGTCCCATGCGAGTTCCGTGAGTTTCCACGACTCACGTTGGTCTCTCCCTAGGTGTTTGAGGTGTTCCCCAGACCTACTCTTGACCGTCACACGATTTTGGCCCTCCGATGGACTATTTTCAAGCTTAAGTGCGAGAAAAGTGTTGTTTCGGACTTAGTTTTCAAACCGGGAGTCTCGTGCTAGTTCCGTAAGTTTTCACAACTTACATTGGTCCCTCCCGGGGTGTTTGGCGTGTTTCCCGGGCCTTCTCGTGACTGTTACACAATTTTGGCCCCCCACGGCTTATTTTCGAGCTTAAGTGTGAAAAAAGTACATTTTTTGATTTAGTTCTCAAACCAAGAGTCCCGTGCTCGCTCCGTAAGTCTCCGCAACCTGTCTTGGACCCTCCCGAGGTGTTTGGGGTATTTCCCAGTCCTTCTCGTGATTGTTACACGGTTATGGCCCCCCCCCGGTGTCCTATTTCCAAGCTTAAGTGCGGAAAAAGTGTCTCTTTACAACTTAGTTTTCAAACCGGGAGTCCCATGCGAGTTTTGTGAGTTTTCACGACTCACGTTGGTCCCTCCCTAGGTGTTTGAGGTGTTCCCCAGACCTTCTCTTGACCGTCACACGATTTTGCCCCCTCCGATGGACTATTTTCCAGCTTAGGTGCGAGAAAAGTGCCGTTTCGGACTTAGTTTTCAAACTGGGAGTCCCGTGCTAGTTCCGTAAGTTTTCACAACTTACATTGGTCCCTCCTAGGGTGTTTCATGTGTTCCCCGGGCCTTCTCGTGACTGTTACACGATTTTGGCCCCCTGACGACTTATTTTCGAGCTTAAGTGTGAAAAAAGTGCATTTTTTGATTTAGTTCTCAAACCGAGAGTCCCGTGCTAGCTCCGTAAGTCTCCGCAACCTGCCTTGGACCCTCCCGAGGTGTTTGGGGCATTTCTCGGTCCTTCTCGTGACTGTTACACGGTTTTGGCCCCCCCCGGTGTCCTATTTCCAAGCTTAAGTGCGGAATCATTAGAAAAGTGTATTTTCCGGCATAGTTTTGAAATCGGGAGCCTCGTGCCTGTTCGTTAAGTTTTCACAACTCAAATTGGTCCCTCTTGAGATGTTCGAGGTGTTCCCCAGGCCTTCAAGTGATTGTTGCACGATTTTCGGCCTGCCGAGCCCTATTTTCAAGCTTAAGTGTGGAAAAAGTACCTTTTCGGACCTAGTTTCCAAACCGGAAGTCCCGCGCTAGTTCCGTAAGTTTCCACAACTTACATTAGTTTTTCCCGAGGTGTTGGAGGTGTTCCACGGGCCTTCTCAGGACTGTTACAGGATTTTTTTGCCCTTGATGGCCTATTTTCAAACTTAAGTGTTGAAGAAGTACATTTTTTGACTTAGTTTTCAAACCGGGAGTCCCATTCGAGTTCCATGAGTTTCCATGACTCACGTTGGTCCCTCCCTAGGTGTTTGAGGTGTTCACCAGGCCTTCTCTTAACCGTGACACGATTTTGGCCCCCCGATGGACTATTTTCAAGCTTAGGTTCGAGAAAAGTGTCGTTTCAAACTTAGTTTTCAAACCGGGAGTCCCGTGCTAGTTCCGTAAGTTTTCACAACTTACATTGGTCCCTCCTGGAGCGTTTGACATGTTCCCTGGGCCTTCTCGTGACTGTTACACGATTTTGGCCGCCGACGGGTTATTTTCGAGTTTAAGTGTGAAAAAAGTGCATTTTTTGATTTTGTTATCAAACCGAGAGTCCCGTGCTAGCTCCGTAGGTCTCCGCAATCTGCGTTGGACCCTCCCGAGGTGTTTGGGGCATTTCCTGGTCCTTCTCGTGACTTTTACACGGTTTTGGCCCCCCTTCCCTGTGTCCTATTTCCAAGCTTAAGTGTGGAAAAAGTGTCTCTTTCCAACTTAGTTTTCAAACCGGGAGTCCCGTGCTAGTTCCGTAAGTTTTCACAACTCGCGTTGGTCACTCCCGAGGTGTTTGAGGTGTTCCCGGGGCCTTCTTGCGACTGTTACGTCATTTTGGCCTCCCGATGGCCTACTTCCAAACTTAAGTATGAGAAAAGTGTATTTTTCGGCCCTGTGCAATACGCTCACTCTTGAAGCTCAACTTCGAAACCAGCAAGCTCTGAGGCCCAAAAGAGCTCAAGTCACACTCCTAAGAACCTCAGCTCAAAGATAGTGGTGTGTCACTATGTGTTGTAGTGCAAAAGTGCAAGAAAAATAGACTTTAGAGCACTATTCAATATGATATAAAGAGTGAGAAATAGAGAGAGAGAGAGAGATACCACTTCTCCAAATTTTTCTGAATCTCTGTTAGAGAGGAAGGGTCTCTCTTTATATAGAAGAATGCAATGAGAAGCTTGTTAAACAAGCTTGGAATTGTGGGACCTATCAGTTGATAGGCTGGTCATGGGTAGATTTTGCTTCTTCCTCTTATTCTTCAAGTGTACTTAAAAGTGCCAATGAGCAACATAGGTCCTATTCTTCCACATCTTAGGTCCAGTTCTTTCATGGCAATTGATGATGTGGATTTTGAATTTTTTTCTTCCTTTCCCTTTTGTTTGGACAAGAGTGATTGCATCCTAACATTCAGAAACTTTGAAAGTTACACGTTCTCTAATTTAAGCCTCCTTTTAATTGAATATTCTTGCAACATTTACTGGTGGCAATGGCACTAATCATCAGTCTTCTCCATTGCCGAGACAAAATACCCTACATTCAACATTTATCTGGCTCCACTTCACCTCCACTTGCCTCCAGTTACACCTGCACTTTGGCACAACCATCTTTATGATTTCCGTCACGAGCACCGTCAATAAATAAATATTTATCTATCAAACTTTAAATCGGGAGTTGTTATATTTTCAGATCAGCTGAGGATGTTGAAGGCTTTCTATTGCTGTGAATTAGTGTTTTTTTCTTTTCTTTTTTCGTTTGCTTTAAAAAACAATTACTGTGTCGGGTGACAAAATAGAACCAGGTTGATTCAAAGTCCAAGCCATTTAATCACCAAGATTAACCTATGGGTCATATTTTAGGTGACAGTAATTACATTTTCCGCCATATAATTTTCTAGTGTTGTTACTACTATGATTGATGATTGACAAGGTAAAATGAAACAAAAATTTTGTATGCTTTATCTTTTAATGCAGATGAGCTGCATGTCATCATTAGGACCAAGTGAACCTATAGAAATGTATCTGGTTGCCGATAGTACTACCAGTTCAACCTCTAACTAACCGGATGATACAAAAAAACTGTAACAAATAGCACAAAATAGTGTCAATTTACCTCATAATTTTCCATCCCGACCTAAATAAATGGATCCAATTTCCAAAACTTATGCAAATTCAGATAATAATCCATGCCCATTGCCAAGTCCAAATATGCACATTGCAAATTATCCAATTTCCAAAGCGGACCTAGTTGCAAAGGCTGGCAATTCTGTTACTAATCCATGGCCATTGCCAAGTCCAAAGACATTTGCAAATTCTGAACTCGTAAAAGCAACATCAACAGGGATAGCAGCAGCAACACCAGAAAATGTGAAGGCAAGTGATGCTAAGGGTAGTCAACTAGTTGCCAATTTCGGCCGAGGGAGCAGCAATGGCGGCCACAGTGACAGCTTAGAGAGCTCCAGTGCAACGCTTAAGCCCCATACCGGTGGTGATGGTCGATGGGATGCCATTAACTTGGCTTCTTCCAAAGATTCCCCTCTTGGTCTTAGGCACTTTAGGCTCTTGAAGCGGCTCGGATATGGAGACATAGGAAGTGTCTATCTTGTTGAGCTCAGAGGAGCCAACACCTACTTTGCCATGAAAGTCATGGACAAGGGGTCTCTTGCAAGCAGAAATAAGCTTCTTCGAGCTCAAACAGAAAGGGAGATCCTTGGTCTTCTTGACCACCCATTTCTACCTACTTTATATTCATATTTTGAGACTGAAAAGTTTTATTGCTTGGTCATGGAATTCTGCAGTGGAGGTAATCTTTACACTCTTCGTCAAAAGCAACCAAACAAGTATTTCACTGAGGAAGCTGCTAGGTTAGTACATATCCGCCTTATTTGGTCTATATTTGCATTTCTTCATTATATGCCATTCAAAATTTCCCTTTATCTATTTATTATAGCAATGTCTGATTTTACCTGCGTATTGATTAATGATGTAACGTATGCCATTTGTACTTTTAGCATAGCATTGCCATAAGTCTAGCCTACATAAAAAGATAAGGGCCTGAGATAGATTGGAAGCATTTTTAAACCTATCAAACACTCTTGACTTTTCTATTTATGATTCTAAGTTATGTCAAGGGTTTTATATTTCATTTTTTACACATGCTGCTCTTGGTCGCTATTGATTATTATAAACATGCTTAGAAGGGTCTTTAAGGTTTAATCATTAGCGTTGTTGATAAAGCTATTTACTTAACGAGAGTCGTGTACTATTGATCTTATTTGTAAATAATATGGTCTTCAAGAAATATAAATTATAGTCAGTTCTTGAACTTGACTAAAGCTCTAATTTTTGTTTTAAACAAGTAGCATGTTACAGTTCATTTGGAAAACTATGTGAGAAAAGAACAAGAAAAAAATTGTGGTTTTTCACCTATGTGAGAAAAGAAAAGGAATGATTAATTTACTCTTTTTTTTTTTTTTTGGATAAGAAACAAAATGGTGTGATTTCTCACATATCTTGTTTGTCCATAAGCTGATCAAATGAGCCAAACCCAGAGTGTGAATTTGTAAGAGCCAATAAATGCAGAGCAAATTTATGCAACAAGCACTTATGGACTAAACAGTGATTTCTCATATTTATGCAACATGTGAGAAACCACAATAATAGCAAAAAATGAAGTACAATATAAATAGGAAAACAACCAAAACCCTAAAAGCCTAATTACATATAATAGGACTAAACTGCCCTTAACGAAACCCTAAAACCTAATTACAGATAATAGGACTAAACTACCCTTCATGCAACCCTAAAAGCCTAATTACAAATAAAAAACTAAATTACCCTTAATGAATAACCTAAATAACAAGAACATGAACATGACATATTTCACATTAGCAAGTGTTACAGGGTCAATTTTCTAATTAAAATTTTCAGCTTACAATGGCATTAAGTTATAGCACTAGTCTCAGCCAATTATCAATACACAGTCACACAATGAGTTAGAACAAGTAAGAGAGAAGGCAACACAAAATTACAAGAAATTCCCAACCTTTATTATTGCACTAACAATACAAAGGAATACCTATGGAAACTCTTACAATTACTTGATACCATTTCGAGTTCCATGGCCATGCCTTATTATGCTTACAATCAGTTACAACAATACAACCAACAATACAAGGACAGCATGCCAAGTGGCATGGCAGTTTACATCCCTAACTGCCTAGGGACTTAGGAACAAATCTGGAGCTAACTGCTAATAACTGCTCCTTCTTCCAGCCTTAGTTCCTGATTTCTAGGCTTGCCTTGTCTTTGCCACAACAAAAGTAACTGCTGTCAACAGACAAGCATAACTGTTGATAACCGCCATGTTGTCTGCCTCATTAAGCCAGCCACGAATTTGGTTGTCTTGGCCACCAGACCAAGTCTTGCCCACCAAACCAAATCTTGCCCACTGATTGTCTTCAACCCTCAAGTATGTTGCAACCCACATTTAGGTCATATTAACGCTTTGCATCTGTGCAAATGCTGTCCATACTTTGGCTAAGGGTTGTGTGCTACTACCCCAGTACTTTGTCATCTTTTCACCTTGCTGTCTTGGCATGCCACCATCATGCCGTGGCCTTGGTTGGACATGGGCGCAAGATGTTGCCAATGCCAACCATGCAACCTTCAAGTAGAAGGTGCTAACAAACCACTCCCACCAGAAGAAGCCAATGTCCTCGTTGGTAGGGTCTTTAAGTACTCTTTGACTTGTTTTTCGAACTGCCATAATGTTACATCTTTTTCCCAACTTGCATAAGATTCTGGGGAACCCTTCCACTTCACTAAGTAATGGGTCCTTCAATTCTTTTTGCTTTGGCCCTCGGTCTTGAGATCAAGAGTCTGTTCTACCTCCCCGTCAAACTGCTTTTTGATCACTGGAGGTGCCCTCCGAGCCTGCTTCCTTGTCAAGTTAGTTTGATCCTCATGAAAAGGTTTTGAAAAGCTAACATGGAAAGTTGAGTGGATTTTTAACCGATCAGGCAATACTAGCCTGTATGCAACATTCCCCACACGTTTTAAGATTTCAAAGGGGCCATCGTATTTCAGAATTAAGCCATGGTGCACGGTCTTATTGCTTATCTTCTTCCAAATTTGAGGAGTAAGCTTTAGTAGCATTTTGTCTCCCACTTTGAACTTTAAGGGTCTCCTCCCTTTGTCAGTATACTTCTTCATTCGTTTGCTTGGTTTAGCCAAACTATCTTGTGATTCCTCCAGCAACTCTTGTTTAACCCTTGCAAAGCAGTATGTTGCTGGACATCTACCACCAGAGCCTGTTTTAGCCACTTCGTGAGGAGTTAGGGGTTGCTGCCCCGTGGCCAATTCGAACGGACTCATCCTGGTTGCAGATGATCTATGCAAATTGTAACAAAATTGTGCACTATCCAACAATTCGACCCAATTCTTTTGACTTGCGGTCACATAATGTCGGAGATACTCCTCAAGCAACCCATTCATCCTCTCGGTCCGGCCATCTGTCTGAGGGTGATTTGTTGTGGAGAACTTTAATTCTGAACCTAACAAATTAAGGAGCACAGTCCAAAACCTTCCCATAAACCAGTTATCCTTGTCACTAATTATGTCCTCAGGCAAGCCAAAGTATTTTACAACATACTTATAAAATATATCAACAATAATGTCAGCAGGACAAGCATGAGGAGTAGGGATAAAGATAGCATACTTAGAAAAGCGGTCAACAATTACCATGATGGAACGCATCCCATTAATTTTAGGAAACCCAGAGATGAAGTCCATGGACACTAAAACCCAAGGCTTCTTAGGGATCGGAAATGGTTGCAACAACCCAGCCGCCTTCTTTCTTTCGGTCTTGTCCAATTGGCACACCATGCAAGTTTTGACATAGGCCTCCACGTCCTCTTCCATTTTCGGCCAAACATATGAATGAGACAAGAGTGCCATAATGATTTGTTATCCCGGATGACCAGCCCACTGCGGATCATGCGTTTCTCTAAGAAGTTCCATTCTCAGTCCCCCAACACTAGGGACATATAGCCTATCTCCTTTGCCATGGAAATGACCATCTTCAAGGCAATACCTACGAACAATACTATCACTCACTTGCTGCACCAACCATTGATACTCTGAGTCAATTGCAGCACTATCATTGATCCTTTCAAGCAATTGTGATTCAATGTTAGAAATAGCAGCCACATATTCAACTATCTCCTTCCAGCTTAAGGCATCAGCGACTAGATTTTGTCGTCCAGGTTTGTGTCGCCACTCAAAATCATATTCTTTAAGGAATTCTTGCCAACGGGCCTACCTTGGAGACAACGTTTTCTGAGTTTTGAAGAATGTATTGGCCACATTATCAATAAGAACCAAAAATCTAGTCCCCAATAGATAAACCCTCTAGGTGAGAAGGCAATGCACCACCGCCGTCATCTCTTTCTCATGGGCCGAATAATTCTTCTCAGCAACATTCAATATGTTTTCAAAGGCCACAGGGTGTCCCTCTTGCACCAATACCCCTCCAAGCACTTTGTCTGAGGCATCCGTGTGTACTTCGAAAGGCAACTGAAAATTAGGCAGTCGCAAGACTAGTTCACTTGCCACCGCACCTTTCAATTTGTCAAAGAGCTCTTGACAATTAACGGACCAATGCCATTTGTGATCTTTCTTCAGCAAATCAGTGAGGGGAGCAGCCTTCTTTGAATATCCCTCGATAAACATCCTATAGTAATTTGCCAAAACCAAGAAGGATCGCAACTCCGCAACATTGGTGGGTAGAGACCATTCCATAATAGCCTGCACCTCTTTCCATCCATTTTGACATAGCCTTGGCAAATAATATGCCCACGAAACTTAATTTCTTTTTGAGCAAACTCGCACTTCTCCCTCTTTACATAGAGTTTATTTTCCCGCAGTCGGAAGAATGCCTTTCTGAGATGGGTCAAATGGTCTTGTAATGTTTCACTATAAATTACAATATCATCCAAGTAAACAACTACAAACCAATCAACATAATCATTAAAGACATCATTCATTAAATTACAAAACGTCGCAGGAGCATTAGTAAGGCCAAAAGGCATAACTAAAAATTCAAAAGAACCATATCTAGTTACACAAGTGGTCTTTGCCTCGTCTCCTTCTGCAACCCAAACTTGCCAATACCCCCAGCGAAGGTCCAACTTTGTGACGAAAGTGGCCTTGTTAAGATGGTCAAACAGATCAGCCACCAAAGGGACAGGGTACTTATTTTTTATAGTCACCTTATTTAGGGCTCGATAATCCACGCACATCCACAACTATCCATCTTGCTTCTTTTGGAACAACACTGGGGCACCATATGGGGCTTTGGAGGGCTAGACTAAACTGGCTTCCAATAACTCCGACAATTGCTTCCTTAGTTTAGCAAGTTCCAACGGCGACATTTGGTAGGGTGCCTTGGCAGGAGTCTGTGCACTAGGCATCAATTCGATTTTTGTGATCAGTGGCACGCCGAGGAGGGAGAGATTTAGACAACTCTGGAGGCATTACATCAATGAGCTTCGCCAAGACATCAACCACTGCATCCGGCACTTTCATAGTAAGGTCAGCCTTCATTTCAATCAATGCTGCAAGGAATGTTTCCTTTCCCTTCCTTAGCCCATTAAGCACTTGCACGGCCGACAACATCTTATCCTTCTTCTTTGCCCCATTTTTCTTGTCTGGTCGAGTAGAGCCCGATACAAAACAAGATTGATTCTCATCTGAAATCAACAACCCACAATGCCACTTTTGCAGCCACAAATAAATTGTTCCCAAGAATAACATCAAAGTCATCTAATGGGACTGCCATGAAGTTAAGTTGTCCAGTCCATTCACCCACTATTACATTCACATCCCGAGCCATCCCATGCACCGGTTGGGCTGCAGGATTCACGGTCTTAATTTTGCTTGGATTCTGGACAATTTTCAATTTTAGGACTGCACTACCCTTTCAGACACAAAGTTCTGGATGGCATTAGTGTCCACCATTGCAAACACTTCAATACCATCCATCACCACCTATATGTACATCAAACTGGATAAGGGGGTCCTTTCAGCACGAATTACATTCAGCAATTGCAAGGGGTTGACTCGAGTAGGGCCATTTGAGTCAGATCCCACCTTATCATCTTTAGCAACCATAGCGTTAAGTTTCTCACGCTTGGGACAATCCTTCGCTCGATGGGGTTCATCATAGATGAAACATCCTTTGTTAGATTTCCCACCATTGTTCTAAGAAGAGTCCCCTTTCTGCTTGTATTTGGAACCATCTTTACCCTTATTGAAGCCACACTTAGAGTCCCCTTTTTGCTTGTACTTGGAACCATCTTTACCGTTATTGAAGCATCACACGTGGGTTCCTTGCTTAACTTGTAGTCAAGCAACCCATCTGCCGCAGCCATGGCAGAAGGCAAATCTTTGACATCGAGTTTCCGAAGTTCCAATTGGGCCCAATTCTGTAACCCAAACATAAAGTTGAAAAGTTTATCTTCCTCAGACATGTTCTTGATGTCAAGCATCAACGAACTGAATTCTTTCACATATTCCCTCACTGATCCGGAATTCTTTAACCGTTTCAAGACATCTCTTGCAACCCAAGATGTATTGCAAGGAAGAAATTGTTCTTTCATTTCTTTCTTAAGAGTCTCCCATGTTAAGATCTCTGGTCGAGCATCATCCTCAACACGTGTACACCACCAAAGTTTAGCATCACCAGTAAGGTACATGCTTGTGATGGTAACTTTCTCCCCTTCTTGCACATGAGCAGCCTTAAAGTACTGATCCATGTCCCACAAAAAATTCTCAAGTTCCTTGGCACTCCGGTTACCACCGAAAGCCTTAGGGTCAGGAACTTTGATTATCGAAGGAGTCTCACCATAATTCGTATGCCCATAGACTGCCTTCTTAACAAGGGTGAGTTCGTCAGTAACTTCCTGCAATTTGTCCTTGCAAGCATCCGAAATGGCAAGTATATCAGTCATCACATCCTTGAACCGATCTGTTGTCGATGTCTCAAGGGCAAGAAACCCAGAAGCCATAGCATCCAATAGATCCATTAGTGAGCGATTCTCATCAGTAGGTTCACCCATGAGATTCTCCTACCGTGTCACTCTTTTCTTCAAGGCATCTATGCCAGACACCATTAGGGCTTAACCTGGCTTTGATACTAATTGTTACAGGGTCAATTTTCGAATTAAAATTTTTAGCCTGCAATGGCACTAAGTTACAGCACTTAGTCTCAGCCAATTATCAATACACACTCACACAATGACTTAGAACAAGTAAGAGAGAAGGCAACACGAAATTACAGAAAATTCCCAACATTTATTATTGCACCAACAATACAAAGGATATCTATGGAAACTCTTACAATTACTTGATACCATTTCGAGTTCCATAGCCATGCCTTATATAGGCTTACAATAAGTTACAACAATACAACCAACAATACAAGGAAAGCATGCCAAGTGACATGGCAGTTTACACCCCCAACTACCTAGGGACTTAGGAACAAATCTGGAGCTAACTGCTAATAACTGCTTCTGTCTTCCAGCCGTGGTTCCTAATTTCCAGGCTTGCCTTGCCTTTGCCCTAACAAAAGTAATTGTTGCCAACAGACATGCATAACTGCTGATAACCGCCATGTTTTCTGTCTTGGCCACCAGACCAAGTCTTGCCCACTGATTGTCTTCAACCCTTCAGTATGTTGCAGCCCACATTCAGGTTATATGAATGCCTTGCATCTGTGCAAATGCTACCCATACTTTGGCCAAGGGTTGTGTGCTGCTGCCCCAACACTTTGTCATCTGTTCACCTTGTTGTCTTGGCATGCCACCATCATGTCATGGCCTTGGTTGGACATGGGTGCAAGGTGTTGCCAATGCCAACCATGCAGCATTCAAGTAGAAGGTGCTAATAGCAAGCCATTTCCTTTATTTATATGGTTGTAAGCCATCGAGGTTAGGGGGTCATTGATTGAGATAAAATTCAGATAATGTTTATGAATTTGAAATTCTTCTGGTTTTTCCTTGTGTTTTCATTCATTCCATATGCTTCCCTACGTCACAACTCCACAGGCTCATCACCACTACCTGTTGTAATTACACCAACAAACCTCCCTTAACCGGTTCATTGCCCAACCTCTATGGCCACCATCTCCATTGACAACACCATGGTCAATCTAAGTCCAAGCCCATTGCTATTTGCTAACTACCCTCTTCTAGTTTCAACAATATAGTATAGATCTAATTTCTCTTCATTTTCACCATCTTGATTATAGCATAACAATACAATGATACAACCATCTATACAAAACAAAAATCCAAATAAATTCAAAGAAAAATAAATCATTGGTGCCAACATTGCTCCCTCCTCCCTCCCCTCCATTTCAATAGTGCCACCTTTCCATACCCTTATATCTATCTATGAACCCAAGCAGCCCACCAAATCATCACCCATTCACTACCTTTCATCACCACCGATGATACCATTGATGACTTCGTTTCTCTATTTGCCAACCTAATCGACCAACTCGGAATATGGGTTGTTGTTCATTGCTTTGTACTTAAAGCAATGTTCTATGTTCTAATAATTCATGAAAGAGATTATCATATTCCCTGCCATACCCATCACTGATCGTCAATCAGTTCCATTGTAGTTTAGATCGCAACAATAGGGAGACAGAGGGAGGTTTGGGTATTGTGGACCTTGGTAAGTTTTGGTCACTGGGCCCTTGATCCAATGCAGGTTTCGAGGCGCCCCCTAGCATTTTGGTAATTTTATTGTTGTTTCCATGTTGCTCTGATTTTTATACTTACATAGATGAGAGGCACCTCTTGTATTGTGTGAGAGAGTTGTAATTGTTGTCAGATCATAGTGAAACTGCAATGACCTTTGACGTAGGTGAACCATGTAAACCCTTGTATTCTTGCGTGTATGTGTGATTGTTTTGATACATATTATCTTTGTTGTTTGCTATTTTGTGTCTCATTGATCCTGGCTAGGGGTTGTCAAAATCCTAACAAGTAGTGGCGGAGGGCTATGACAGTGTTAGGATGACGGTGGGGGATTTGATCATTTACAAAGTGCGAGGACTGGGTGTGGCGACTGTGGGGAAATGACTGCCTATTTGGGGGATCTGTAATTTCTCAAACATGAGGGGAATTCCATATTTGTTTGATAACTCAAGGTTATATTTGTAATTTCCCCTACTTATATTACTAAAAAACCCAATATTCTATTGAAGATGATGAAGTATATACTGACGGTCTTTACTATTCTCAGTATCTGAGTTGGGGTTGGATGCAAGAGAACCTGAAAGTTGTTATTCCGAAGTTGTATGCATTGGCATTTGCTTCAAGTTGTTTAGATACAGAACATACCAAGAATGTTGCCCTGGATATTTCCATTTTTTCTTTCCTTGGTGTCATGCAGCATGGATTGGTCTTTGTCAAGTGTAGGTGATTCATGGATTGATTGAGAGAAATTTCAAATACCAAGTGTTTATATTGGAAAGCTATTATTACGTTTAGTGGAGAATGGTTCATGTAATTGAAACTTCATGTATTTGTGTCATTGAAACTCTTCCCTTTATGTATGATCTTTGAGGTTTATGCCTGTCATCCGGATATGTTTCTCATGACATTACTATTTAAAAAATAGTTTTGATATGATATTTTTTTTGTTCATTTTAATTTTTTATCAGGTTCTACACTTCAGAGGTGTTGTTGGCATCATGAATATTTTTTTGATGAAGTATTTTTTTTGTTCTCCCTGGGTCGCTTGCTATCGGCGAAATCTGTAAGCTTCTCTAGCCCTTTCTAATGCTCTTTGAATTTGATCAATTCTGCAATACTCTCTCGATCATAATACCAGAATTCATTCATCATTTTTATTTTCCTGTCTAATAGGATTCTTGATTCATGTACAGATTACAATATACTCATTAATTTGCTTTTATTTAACGCTTCTTCTTCTTCTTCTTCTTGTTCTTCTTCCTCTTCTTATTCTTATTCTTTTCGTCTTAATTTCCTTCATTCTGCGTTGCTTTAATGCTACTAAATTCATAAATTGAAATCTCTGTAGTTTAAAATCACTCTTATACTAGAAGAATTCTGGATCATGTGAATGATCATTGCGTGGTATTTGTAAGCAGTATAAATGCTATGTTTTTGGTGTCAATCATCACTGCAATGTCTGATGAACCCCCATTTGAAGATCAGAGTGCTTAAGTATGATAACTTGGTTTACCAAAACAAAAAGTGAAAAGGCAAAAAAAAAAAAAAAAGTATTTGTTCAACGCGAACCAAGGTTTAAAATTGCATAATCTTACTGGGTTTTCAGTAATATAAAAAAAATGCTGGGTTTTTTAGGGTTTTATTTTTTGGTCTGGTCATGCTCATCTGCTTTGAACTTTTAACATGATATTTTACCTCAACTGTGCGCAAAACTCATCAAACAATACTGGGTTATGAGTTTATTAATTATTAAATTGTTATTTTAAACTTGGGGGATTTAATGCGAGAATAATGTAGAAAGATTGCAGAAAACTTGGCTTAAGATTTTATACAATCTTTTGCTTGAGATTTTGCATTTATTTGTTTGTTATGTATTGAATATCTTATGGATTTGTATAACAGAAATTAGTATTGGGAAAATCAATTGAAACTGGAGAATGTTGTTTATGCTTCAAAAGTTGCTTAAGGAATAGGGTTTTGCCCAGTGCATGACGCTTGATTTGAGTGACTTTACCAAGATGGGGACCATACACCGCAGGTTTGTACTGATATTTTCATATATTTGTCTGGTTAACTTGTGCAAGACGCTTCAAGGGCCAAAATGCAGGACCAATTCTTTGAAAGCACCTTGATTAGTTTTCTTGTTTTGGTTGCAGTGGAGCCTTTAAAAAATCAAATGACACTATCAGACTTGTAATTACAACTTTAACTGGAATGATCTTTGGATATTTTATTGGAATTTCTTTTCCATCTGTTTCCCTTAATAAGGTATGTTGGCTCATTCTGTCAATGACCCTATGTTGCATGAGGCACCTATTATCCATTTGATTCATTGCGATTGCATTCTTGCAGATTAATTTACATTCAAGCATTGTATCATCTCTTGATGTAGCCTTGAACAATGATCATTCTAGATCCATTTGTAACCACATACCTAAAACTCGTGTTTCCACTGACAAAGCACCACCTAAGGTACCTTTTCCTTGGTTATTTAATTCTTCTACGTTTTCTTAGCATGTGTCATTCTGAGGTCAACTATCGCTTAAAGGGCCAGTGATTCCTTGCTTGTTTGTCTTCTTACATGAGATGATGTTATTGTTCAAGAAAAATAAAAACCAGTGATTTAGTAACACCCTCAAAAATTAATGCCAACGACCTATTGATCAATGAAAGTGATTTGCTGCAAAAAAAATTAAAAAATTAAAAATAAAAAAGAATTATGTCCCTTCCCTTGTGTCTCTAAATTATGTTTCTCTGGAACAATTGCATGACAAATGTCAACAGAACAATGCTAGAGGTTATGGGTACACTGCAGCTTCATAGAAATGCCCATGCTTCTTAGTTTGATAACTTGGCTTTAATTATGTCATTTTCTGCAGTCTTGTGTTATAGCTTATCTGGAAATACTAGATCAACAGGCTTTTCCCATATCTTTTCTCAGTTGCTACAACAGCAAAATGTGTTCCCAGAGTTCATGTTGAATTTTTATTTAGGCTGATAACCTGTTCATGTTTGGTTTTCCTCCCAGATATATGTTCCAACAAATCCTCGAGGTGCAGAATCCTTACCTCCAGCAATTGTAGTCTCTCAGTCTGATTTTTATTTGCGAAGATTATGGGGTGAACCCAGTGAGGTATGTTGTTCAACACAAATAACTGTGTTATGGTGCTGGAGCTTGCAATTATTTACCTATTTTAGATGGTGGAATTGGTTTTAATCATTGTAAAGTTTTTAATTTCTTGTTGACTCTCCAACTCAACTATGACCATATATGATTTTGGAAGTCCTAATAGAGTAGACATTGTTGTTTAGTGAGTAAAAATAAAAAAAAAATAAAAAATTCATCACATATCTAAGACCATGGCATATTCTACTTAGTAATTCTTTAACTAAACTTTTCTCATCTTTGAAATGTTCTCGTCAAAGGCTTAATGGGTATTACTATTATCATTGTTTTTTGAAATTGTGTGGAACCTGTTTGCGAAACTGTATTTTTCAGGTTTTGGTTATTTTTTAATGTGTGATGCTTAGATTTGTTAAGATTGGTACGGCTGGGTTGGCTGCTTGTGGATTTAATTGGCTTATCATTGTTGGTGACAAGCAAACACTACAAGAAAAATAGGAAATTACGACGTTTTTTTTCTGACGTTTTTTGAAAAACGTCGTGAAATCTCTTATAATTTTTACTTTTTGAGCAAATTTAATTATCCCATCTTGTTTTGTGTGCCGTTATTACAAAATTGTGAAATAACATTTATTTGTGAGGGAAGAGGCAAGACTTCTCTGATCAAAGCAGAGGCGTGACTTCAGAGAACAGAGCGTGACTTTTGAGAGAGAGAGAGAGAGAGAGGCAGAGAGAGAAATCAAGGCCTTGGATCTTCCATCTCCATCGATTCTTTGGTTGTATGATCTGGAAACTCTTGTTCTACACTTGATTTGAATGTTTGTCTGTAATATCGTTTGAATCCCTCTTATCTAAGTCGATCTAGGGCTCAAGGTTAGAGTTTTTTTATATGGATTTACTACATTCACACAAGATCCGTAGACTTTCATGGCTTAAACTAACGATTTATAGTTGATTTCTAGTTTCTTTTCTTCTGTTTTGTATTTTCTTTTTTCGAATCGATTTATCTAGGTTTTGAGTGCCATGTTAATGTATCTAATCATGTACAAGATAAGCAAGCAGTGTTGGATCTGGATCGTTAGCAACAGTGAGTAGAAGCAAGCACAACGACGTAGAGATGTAGATCTTATTCTCAGATCTGCTCTCTATCCCATCAGATCTGCTCTCTCTGTCTCTCCGACCTGCTATTATGGTAATATCAAATCTGCTTTCTCAATCTCTCCGATCGAATTTCACGTATTCTCTTCATTGCTCTATGAGATTTGGACCTCTCTCCCTCTCTATTTTTGATTGAATCTCATTATCTTTCTCACTCTATCACATTTTCCTTATAGAAAATGTCAAAACAGTTTCTAAAATTGGTGCTGGTGACTAGTTCGTTGGTGCTCTCCTATGCATGTTGATGATGACCGATTTGTAGTTGAGGTTAGTATTCCTGATGCTATGATTCTTATCCTACTGACATAAAAAAAAAAATTATGGATTTTTTTTTTTTTGTTGGAATAGCTTGTTGATATTGTGATTCTTATTGTATCATTTTCCTTGCATGTCAAATGTTAGATAAAATGTGTCAATGGAAAAATTTTGTTATTTTTATTTTATCTTTTAATTTTTACCCAAACACTAGAAAATAAAAATGATGTTCAACTTTTATTGTAAAATAAACAGTATCTTCTGCTAATCTAAAAGGGGTGTTATCTGTGTAATCATCTGTCTCATAATCTTTGCGCCGCTTCGGCAGCCTCAGGGACAGGATTTTTAAAATCACAGGTATTAGCAGCATTACTATTAGTTAAGTTCTTAGCTTCATTGTGCTCTATCGTGGTTTCGTGATGCGATGGTTTGCAAAAAATCCATCTTCGCTTTCCTCTCTTCTACAAAAAATTTCATTTATAGAAAACACATCGAGAATGATGTTGTAGCAGGATTGTTGTTACCTTCTCTTCCTCTTCTTGTTCATTGTCTTCTAATCTCCCTCTGCTACTACTTTTCTGGGTGTCTTTAGTGGGAGACCTGAAAGCCTTTTTCACTGCATTCAATCAAGAGCCTTCTCTAATCTTTCCCATGATTGAATTAAAAAAACAGAGCTTCAATTAACAGTTGAGCTACATTTACAATGAAACCCAAGTTGGGAAAAGACCAGTGGGAATTTTGTTCACTAAATGCAAGAAATGCGAGAAAGAGAGAGAGTGATAATGAAATCAAGAAACAGGGAACAGGATCTAACAAGGAACTGACATATCCCCAGTAAATTTGAAAGAGAGCAGAGAGCTTGGTAATAATGTATAAATTTGGAAGAGAGTAGAGAGCTTGGAAATTATATGCAGGAGCAGAGAAGTAAAGAAGAGAGAGCTTGGCAATTATGTAATCATCTATCTCACAATCTTTTTGTTGTCTATAATATTAGCTCCCATTATTTTTCCTGATATCCTCTTTGATATTATTGTTTTCTATGAGAAATATCAAATGCTCCATTTTTGGAGATAAATGTTCTGGACATTTGAAGATTCACCCACATTTTTAGTTTGATGTCAAACAAACTTGTCTAAATGGTTATTTTGATACTAAGAATAGTCATTATCAGGTTGGACTGTTATCAAGCATGAATATGAAGCAACTAGGTAGCTATAGACTAAAGATTTTGATCCATAGCTCTTATTTGTTAAGTGACTTGTTTGTCATACTATTCAGAAACAGTCCTTTACTTTTGTTTGTAAATCTTACATTTTAATATTGAAATGGCAGAACCGCACACTTTGCTTGTGATTTTGATTAGAAAGGTCATGATGAAATAATAAAGTTCTCTATTATATATTTTCTTGAATGCTGGTTTCCTGATATTGAGATGATTTGAAAGAAAAAATTTCAACATATAATTCTTTTATGAGTTAAATCCATGAAACACTGAAACAAATCTGGGAATCATTATATATTTTATATTTTGGGTCAGAAAGATCACACTGGAATTATTCCTATTTGGAACTTCAACGCCATACCTGATCACACTGTAATTAGTCTTATTTGGTCGAATCCATTAGCTGGGAAGGAGTAACATCTCTGAAGTCTCTTAACTGTTCTTTTTTTTTTTTTTTTAAGTTTAACTCAAGTCTTTCTTTAATATGTTCCTTCCAAGATATGATCAGAAAATTTTATAACAGAAACTTGAATATGCTGGTGTTATAGCTAAAAAGTCAAGTATATTCACTGTTGTTATTGCGTCTGCAACTAGTGATGGTTATTGAGCCTATTTGTTGTTCATAACCATTTTGCTATCAAACCACCACCATCACTTAAAAATATGGTAAAGACAAGACCCCCCAACCCACAAGGGAGACATTTGCTAGATTTCAAGAAGAATTCACTTTATATACAATTCATTGTTTGCTGATTTATAAAATTTCTCTTCTTCTAGATTATTGATGAAAAGTCTTCGATTAAAAAGTATCAAAGAGAAATATCAAGCCTCAAACTAGAACTGGATCAGTCATGAGGAGATTATTAGCTTAAGACAACAGGTTTCCTTCCAAATCTTTTATATTCTGCATTTGTATGGAATTGGCTTTGTTTGACTAACATTGAACCAAACCTGTTTGACATGTAATGGTGGTTTTTTTCTTAGTTTTTGATTTTCCAATCTTCCAGTGAGACTGGCTATGCAGATTTATGTTCTCATATGATGTTCACCTTTTGTTATTGATATAACAGTTGGATTCTGCTAATCTAAAAGGGGTGTTATCTGTGTAATCATCTGTCTCATAATCTTTGCGCCGCTTCGGCAGCCTCAGGGACAGGATTTTTAGAATCACAAGTATTAGCAGCATTACTATTAGTTAAGTTCTTAGCTTCATTGTGCTCTATCGTGGTTTCGTGATGCGATGGTTTGCAAAAAATCCATCTTCGCTTTCCTCTCTTCTACAAAAAATTTCATTTATAGAAAACACATCGAGAATGATGTTGTAGCAGGATTGTTGTTACATTCTCTTCCTCTTCTTGTTCATTGTCTTCTAATCTCCCTCTGCTACTACTTTTCTGGGTGTCTTTAGTGGGAGACCTGAAAGCCTTTTTCACTGCATTCAATCAAGAGCCTTCTCTAATCTTTCCCATGATTGAATTAAAAATCAGAGATTCAATTAGTTATGGTGCTGGAGCTTGCAATTATTTACCTATTTTAGATGGTGGAATTGGTTTTAATCATTGTAAAGTTTTTAATTTCTTGTTAACTCTCCAACTCAACTATGACCATATATGATTTCGGAAGTCCTAATAGAGTAGACATTGTTGTTTAGCGAGTAAATATCAAAAAATAAAAAAAATGAAAAATTCATCACATATCTAAGACCATGGCATATTCTACTTAATAATTCTTTAACTAGAGTTTTCTCATCTTTGAAATGTTCTTGTCAAAGGCTTAATGGATATTACTCTTATCATCGTTTTTTGAAATTGTGTGGAACTTGTTTGCGAAACTGTAATTTTCAGGTTTTGGTTATTTTTTAATGTGTGATGCTTAGATTTGTTAAGATTGGTACGGTTGGGTTGGCTGCTTGTAGATTTAATTGGTTTATCATTGTTGGTGACAAGAGAGTGAGAAACCCTCACATCATAAAATACTAAAAATTGAAATAAGTGCAAAAAGAAACCGTCTCATACTATGACATTTCCATTGATTTGGCATGTGTGTAACTACTCTCATAACTCCAATCATCTTATGGAGAACATTCTGTAACTTTCATGATTTGACAATGAAGCCGAAATACTTGGTAACATTCACAGTTGGTTTGGATCAGAGGAACAACATTGATGCAGCAGTTAAAAAGGTTACACAAATG